CTTCACTCTCCCCTCCCCTCCTCGATGCCTCTCAGAGCCCACTCGGCTAGGGATGAGCCTTACTGCAGCCCTCCTGGTGTGATCTCCCTCTCTCATGTGAAGGACGACCCCGCCAGCACTGGTAGGCTGCAGTGACTCATGCAGGCAGTGAGGAGCGTGGGTTAACCACACTCTCCTGGCTGCGGGAGAGTCACCAGGCAGAAGGCTCTCACTGCAAACACCAACGCCCCATGCACAGCCTGCCACCATGTGGTCCCCACCCTGAGCGCCTGCAGCAGGTGAGACTGGCAAGTGAGAGGAGCAGGTGCCCCGTACCTCACCTTCCAGCCTGAGCAGGGGGGGCTTTAAGAGCACCGTCTACACTGAAGCTTTTCTTCAGGGAATTCTCAGTAATGTACTCCTCCCAGTGAAGTCCCACCAGACTTGACCCCGTCACCCCAGAAACCCTACGGAGACACGCTGGAGGCATGCCACAGGGCTCAGGCACTGCTGCAGCAGGCATCACCTGAGTCATTCCCCTCTGCATGGGGGCTGGCAAGCCGCTGCTGGGTAGCGTGTTGGGAGGGTTAGGACGTGACTCTGTGCGACTCAGGAGACCTGTGCCGGGCAGGGGGAGCATCAGTTACTTGTTAGTGCCCATGCACGGTCAGGAATATCACTGTCCATGCAGTCTTAAAGTGTCCTTCATAAAAACAACTTACAGGATGTCAGTCCACTCGGTGGAAGAGACCCAACCCCTGCCACCTGATGTAAGGGACTTACTGCTGACCTGTGGTGGTGCCGTTTCTGTGCTGCACAGAGAAGCCTGCCCAGGGTGGGGCTGGGTTTTCTTTCCTGGGTGGATCCTCACGGCTGGGCTGTTGGATGTCCCCCAGACCCTCAGGGCAGTGGGTCAGGTCTCAGGTCCTCAGAGTCAGCAGGCTGCCTTACTTTTAGAGCAAGTGGTGTGCACTCCTCAGTGAAAACAGGCTCCGTGGGGAGTGCTCCCCGGCAGCTCTGGAATGTGCAGCCAGTGCACGTTTCAAGGTCCTCCCAAACTGTGCTGCGGCCTGAGCAGGTGGGAACTGGGCGGGAGTGAGGACTCACTTGGGTCTCCCTCAGCACCGTGGGCAGGCCCCCTCCCACCGTGGTCATGTGTGCCAGAGACTCTGCCCCCATTTAATTTGGCCTAAGGAGGCCATGACCTTGAAGAACAATAATTGCATGAACAGCTGCAGGCAGATGAGCACATTCTGTACTGAGATCCCGAGTCCCTGGTGAGCCTCTGAGACTAGGTTTTCTTCACTTCTTGTATTTTCTTTCTTAATTAACCTTTCAATTTGCTGGCTCTTAACTAGGTAAATTCTGGTGTTGGGGAAGGCGTGCGGTGGGCGTGACAAGGTGGTATTCCCCAGGAGCCTGGGGTGGCAGAGGCGGGCACAGTGTGGAAGATGTCAGCAGCCCATGCCACAGAAGTTCACATGAGCTTCCTATGTCCCTTAACAACCAAAGAATTAATTCCCTGTGACTGAAAGGAAGCTTCTTCATAGCAACTGGAATAATGAAATTTTATATTTAATTTTGAATAAGCTAACATCCACATTAAATGTGCACATAGGGAAGTAATTTTGTATTTTTAATTCCTATGAATAGTGAGGAAACTTCAAAATATTTTTGTTCAGGCATGTATAAGGTCCAGAAAAAAGTCATGTTCTCCAGGGGAGAATGCTATGTAAATCATATCTAGTTGAAACTTGTACGACCTCCTACTTTCAATGCAGAAGGATACTCTGGCTCCTCATCCCCATCCCTGGAAGCCCTCTCAGCCAGAGCCCGTGTGAGTCTGGCCCCAGGGCTGTGACACACTCCAGGAGTGATGCTGGGGGACTTTCCTGCAGTTCCACCCTCCACAGGAGCAGCTGGGGTATCTGTCCTGTGCACAGAAGCCTCCCAGAGGGACTGATTCAGAGCCAGCCTGTGTGTGTGTGTGTGTGTGTGTTTGGGGGGGGGGGGGTCCCAGCCTCTAGTCCAGAGAGATTTGATGCTAAGGGTCTTAGCAGGGTTGCTGCTGAGGTCTCAGAGGAAGAGCAGTGTGCAGGTCAGAAAGCTCAGGCCACCTTCCCTGGGAGAAGCCTGTGGAGCTCATCACCTCCTCCCAGGGCTGGTCAGTGAGCTGACTCTGCCCATCTACCTCAAGGGAAAATCCCAGCATTGGGTCACCCCCCAAAAAAGAAGGAGGACTTTTTGTCTTAACAGCCTCTGCCTTCTTCGTTCCTTCGTGTGGGGCAGGATGCCGGATGCTGCTGGCTCTTTGCAAGGCTCTGGGAGATCATGTCAGTCAGGTGCCCCCCCATGCTGGGGAAGCGGTTTCAGTAGTGCAGCTCTGGCCCTGGTACGGGGGCAGCAGAGGCCAGCATCTCAGCCCTCAGGACAATCAGCACAGGCCTCAAGGTGTCTACAGTGGTGTGTCCAGCACCAGCTTCATGGAGGGTGGAGGCAGGCCCCATCGGCTGGGTGGCTGTGCCGTGCCTGTGGGCGCCACAGTGGGACTGCCCACCCTTGCCTGGGCCAGCTCACACTGCCAGCCCTGCTGCAGGACAGGGGAGGTCCAGTGGAGTGACACAGTTCAGGAGGCCATTTAGTGACACTGGGTTGGAGGACATGCAAGCAGCTGTGGCGAGCCCAGCAGTCCTGTCTTCCAGACACCTGAGCTCTGCCTTTCTGGGTGAGTGGAAGTAAGAGCCATTTCCATTCCAAGAAAAAAATGACATTCATTTTCCAAAGTCTGTGGTCCTCTGTATTTGCAGAAGCAGTGTTTAAAAAGCCAGTGAGCACAGCCAGCTCAGATTCTGTGTCAGACACTGATGTTCGCATACACTTCTGAGCGAGACAGGCAATTGTGTCCTCATTTTGACCTGTGTCACCTTGGAAGACTCAGCTGGAGTCCCCCTGGAGCCGTTGGGGGCCGCACATGCTCCTGATCTTCACGGTCTGCAGCTTGACCTCATGCTTATTGCTGTGGCCAGCGATCTCTTCCACCCCCTGGACAGAGCATTGCTGGATGGTGGGTGGGAGGCTGTGCTGGGCTGAGTCATGGCCCAACCCACACAGCAGCCTGTCCCTCAGCATCCCCTGTGACCACACACCAGGACAGGGCTTCAGGTTACTCCTGGACTTCCCCAACACTGCATTTCCCAGGAATTCCACAACAGTGTGTGCAGCGTGTCAGAAAGTGATTGGGAAAGCTATCTGGCAGAGGGAGGGGGACGGCATGAATTCCCAGCGGAAAGACCTTCCATTTCTGAGAATAAGGAAAAGGCCTTTCCAGGGACAACTAGCAGGAGGAGCGGGCCTGCAGGTGTGCACCCTTCCCCCAGGGTTTACGGGGACTGGCAGTGGCCTTCTGTGTGATAAGCAAAACATCAGGACCTGCTGAGGGAAGGTGACTGCCAGTTGCTCTCCCATTTGAGAGGTCAGTAAGCATTCTGCATAATGAAGAGATGCAGCTCGCTGTGTATGCTTTCCTTGTGCACATCCTTGGGGAAGCTACCATCCCACTTCCCTCTGCCCTAGGTCAAGCCGCCTCCGGGCAGGTGGGAGACTCCCCAAGGCTCTTCCAGTTTGGGAGAGACACTGTGTGACACTATCCTACACTCCTCTGCAGGGCACATAGGCCCTCCCATGCTGGTCTTTGCTTCCGTTAGCTGTCTGTGCCATTGCTCCTCTGAGGGTTTTCAGAGATGAGATTCCAAGAATGACCAGTTCAGGCTGGGGCTGGGGCTCAGTGGTAGAGCACTTGCCTGGCATGTGTGAGGCACAGGGTTGGATCCTCAACATGAAATAAATAAATAAAGGTATTGTGTCCATCTACAACTAAAAAAAAAAAAAGAGAGAAAACAAAGAGAGTGATGAGTTCAAGCAGGTGTAGGCACTGGACTCCCTGGGGTCCTCACTGAGGCGGACCTCAGAGAGGTTCCCTAACACTTTCAACAAGTATTTGTTGTAACTGAGTCTGAATAGGTGACTGAAAAGGAATGAGAGAGGCTGTCGACACTGATAAAATGACAGCCCAGCCATGCTCTCTCAGTGAAAGACTCCGTGACTCTGCTTACATTCAGCAGGATGAAAAGGTGGGATGGTTCACACTGGGCTGCTTTTGACCTATGGAACCAACCGCTTCATTCAGCTCCACCCATTAGACCTAAGACCAGGTCTGGTAATGCCGTCCTTGAGCTGGTTCCCCAACACGATGCCTCTTCTTCATTCCTAGATAATATTCTGCACATCCCATTCACCAAGTTCCAGCAGTGAGAAGTCACATGCCCAGAGCACCACTACCAAAGCTGTAATGGGAAACCTGGGGAGGGACTGCAGTAGAGCCCGCCCAGTGACAGAACAGGCTCACTGCACCATGCAAATTCAAATCTCCTTTTTCTCCTGTCAACAGGAACAGAGTGTGAATGATCTGGAAGCACCCGATGACAGACAAGGGAAGCTGAAAGCAAGGTCTCCGATGTGCACAGTGACCTTTCCTGACACCCACCTGGCAGGTGCGGATGTGGGCTTGATAGAGCCGTGAGGCCAGGACATAGACCGCACCCTCCAGTTGACCTTTGGGTGTAACTACAAATGGGAGTCAAAAAGAAGGATCCGATCTGTACCTACAGTGGAACTAAAAACAAGGTCCTTAAGGTCCGGGGCCCTTCTGTCTGAGGCAGCAGCGTTGTGATACAGTGCTCCTGTGGGGACACTGGGGGTCAGACACAAGTGACAGACCAGTCCCACAGACAAAGCTACATCAGCCAGCGCTGCAGCCTCAGGTCTGTCCGGTGCGTGGACTAAAGCATCACAGTCCCCGCCACGCTGCTGGCCGGTTCCTCTCCACCTGAGCATATCCCCGGCCAGCGCTGAACCCCCAGCGTTCAAAAGTTCAGTGAGTGCTGGGCACGCCCTCCTCGCAGGGGAGGAGAGGGAAGGGCCAGAAGGGAGCGGTGTGCACAGGGGGAAAACTGTGGACATAGTGAAATCTGATCGCGTGCCAGAAAAGCGTGTGAAGCTAGTGACCCCTAAACAACGCCTGGCCACGACCAGGCATGTGCGGCCACTGAGCGTTCGGGCAGCGGCAAGGCACAGACCGCCATGGAGAATTCTGTGGCCCCCTGCGTCCTTTACCCAGGGGACCGCAGCGTCAGCGGGACGGAGCCTGGGGCTCCGGGAGAGGGCAGCCTGCAGCCGCCGGCCGCGGGGGAGGGCGCTGCGTCCCCCACGCAGACACCCTGCAGTCTCCGCGCGTCCCTGTGCTTCAGCTCCGGGGACGACTCTCCGCCGCAGTCTCGCGCTGCCGCCGCGGAGGGCACGGCGGCTTCCTCGCCCTCGCACCGCAGCGGCCAGCGCGTGGTGGAGACGCAGTGGGAGGTCAGCAGCGCGGGCGCCGCGTCGCCGGAGGAGCTAGTGTCCCCGGAAGAGCCCGTGTCCCCGGAGGAGCGCGCGCCCCCCGAGGATCCCGTGTCCCCGGAAGAGCCCTCGTCCCGCCAGGAGCGCGCGCGCCCTGCGGAGTCTCTGTCCCTGGTGGAGTCTGAGTCCCAGGAAGAGCTCGGAGAGCCCGCGCCTGTGCCCCCCGGGGTCGGGACCGCGCACGGAGAGCCCGACCTGGTTATCGAGGTGTCCGGCCGGCGGCTGCGGGCGCACAAGACGGTGCTGGCGGCGCGCAGCGACTACTTCCGCGCGCGCGCGTCGCGGGACGTGCTGCGGGTGCAGGGCGTGAGCTTCGCGGCGCTACAGCTGCTGCTGGCCGACGCGTACAGCGGACGCATGGCGGGCGTGCGGCCCGACAACGTGGCTGAAGTGGTGGCTGGCGCGCGCCGCCTGCAGCTGCCTGGCGCCGCGCAGCGCGCCACCGACGCCGTAGGGCCGCAGCTGACCTTGGCGAACTGCTACGAAGTGCTGAGCACCGCCAAGCGGCAGCGGCTGTCGGAGCTGCGCGACGCCGTCTACCGCTTCATGAGCGACCACTACCTGGAAGTGCTGCGCGAGCCCGCTGTGTTCGGGCGCCTTTCGGGCGCCGAGCGCGACTTGCTGCTGCGCCGCCGTCTGCGCGCCGGCCGCGCCCGCCTGCTGGCCGCCGCGCTCGGGCCAGCCGGGGAGCGCTCAGGCAGCCGCCCGCAGAGCCCGTCAGGGGACGCGGACGCGCGCGGCGACGCGGCAGTCTACTGCTACCACGAGGCGGCCGGCGAGTGGCGCGAGCTGACGCGGCTGCCCGAGGGCGCGCCGGCGCGCGGCTGCGGCCTGTGCGTGCTCTACAACTACCTTTTCGTGGCCGGCGGCGTGGCGCCCGCGGGCCCTGATGGTCGCGCGCGCCCGTCCGACCAGGTCTTCTGCTACAACCCGGCCACCAACAGCTGGAGCACCGTGCGGCCGCTGCGTCAGGCGCGCTCGCAGCTGCAGCTGCTGGCGCTGGACGGCCACCTGTACGCCGTGGGCGGCGAGTGCCTGCTCAGCGTGGAGCGCTATGACCCGCGTGCCGACCGCTGGACCGCGGTGGCCCCGCTGCCCCGGGGCGCCTTCGCTGTGGCGCACGAGGCCACCACCTGCAATGGCGAGATCTACGTGTCGGGGGGCTCCCTCTTCTACCGCCTGCTCAAGTACGACCCTCGACGCGACGAGTGGCAGGAGTGCCCGTGCAGCAGCAGCCGCGAGCGCTCAGCCGACATGGTGGCCCTGAATGGCTTCATCTACCGCTTCGACCTATGCGGGGCTCGAGGTGAAGCTCAGGCGGCGGCCGTTCCCGGCGGCGGGGTCAGCGTCTTCCGCTACCACTGTCTAGCCAAGCAGTGGAGCCAGTGCGCCGCGCACCTGCGGCCTCCGGGCGCCCCGGCCGGCCTGCAGCCCTTCCGCTGCGCCGCCCTGGACGGCACAATCTACTGCGTGAGCCGAGCGGGCACCTGGCGCTTCGTGCCCTCACAGGATGGTGAGCCCGGCGGCGACGCGGGCGCCGGCGGCAGCTTCGAGCCAGAGCCACTGGGAGCCCCCCTGGACATCCGGGGCACACTCTTCCCATTTGTGCTCAACCTGCCTGAGAAGCCGGACCGGGGGGAGCAGGGCGCGGCCTAGGGCAGGCCGGGATCACTGGGCATCTCCCTTGGGCAGCTGTGGGACCAAAGGGGTGGCCCCGTGGGCTGCAGTTCCCAGTGGGTAGGGGGCAGAGGAGAGGAGGAAGAGAGCGGTGGGGTGGGTTGCTGCCCACTGCACCATGTATACGCTTTGAGGATAGAAGCTTTGGGGCCCTGAGGCGTTTTTCCGGTGCCATTCTCAGCGCTTCTCAGTTCTGGATTCTTTTTTGCTTCATTTTGCTTAGTGGGTGGATGGCATAAGATGTAAGACGTGCGCAAACGGCTTTAAGATGAGATGCAGGATACCTAGGGGAAGAGAGGTGGGTCAACAGATGGGTCGTCAGGTGCAGCTGCCGCCCTGGGGTGCAGGAGGGTGAATATAAGGTACCGCCCTCTCGGGGAGCTGAGCACAGAGGAGGCGATTAGAGGCGCTGGGCAGGGTTCCCTCCTGGCCAGGCCACAGAGGGAGTCCTAAAGTAGGCCGCACCAGCTCTTAGTGCAGCTGAAGAGAGAAGTCACCCTTCTCTTTTGTTTTGGGCCTGAGGTTTAAAGCCATAGCTGATAAGTAAAGCTTTCTGTGATTTAGTTAAAAAGCTCGTGTCACCATGTGCTGCAGTTGTGGTGGGCTTAGCTGTAGAGTGACTTAACCTTTAATTACCAATGGGATTTCTAGGCCCCGGGGCACTGGAAGTGTTTCCTCTGCCAATCATGGACACATCACTGGGGTCCCCACAAGCCAGAGCAGTGAGGCCATCGAGTGGAGGGGCCTGGAGTCCTTGGTGGCATGGTGACGATTCACTGTGACTTGACTTTTTGATCTTTGGTGATGAAATGTCACCCGGCAGCACGTGGAATCAGGAAAGTTCACTGAGAAGGTACTTGTCTGTTTTGAAAGGACCCTGTGACAGCCAGTCTGCTCATTCCTGCCACCTTCTAGAAGGAGCCAAGAGGGACACTTCCTAAAAAAGGGGGTTAGAATCATTTTTGACAGTTCTAAAAATGAATGATACAGGCACATTTTAAACCCATTACCTAATGTTTTAAATGTGTATCATGTAATTCTGATGAGGGATATTAATTTTTACCAACATCATTCTAAGAAAACAAGGCAGAGTGACATATCATAAGGAATGTAACAAGGGAAAATATCATGTATGTTTAATGTAGTTCAGCAAGTGATGTTTATCTCATTGTGAATTCCAAAATACCTGAATAGAATGGAAGTGAGACTCACTACTTTGAGAGAGTACAAAGATATAAAAAAAATCAGTTGATTTCCCCCTCATTTGTTAGGTCAGTTGACTTTTCAGAAATGCTGGCCAGGACTTCCTGTCCATTAGTAGTTCAAGGGTAGAATTCACTCTCATGAACAGGCAAACTAGTTTGGATTGCAAATCCAATTCATCTTACTGTAATAGGACAAGTGCATAACTTTCTGGAACATACCTAGATGAAACCATGCAGACCTTGACATGACTTCCTTATTAACCAGTGGTGGGATAGTGGGATGTAGGAGGTGCTTTTTAGAGTCTTTGGTTGTGAAAGTCTTGGTTAAGTGTGTTTAGAAATGGTCAGCATGAATCTCATGCATGAGGGGAGTGGGATTCACAGTGGCAGTTGGAGTGTGTTCTGGTGGTGTGCATGCTTGCTTCTGAGTGTGCGTGAACCAAGATGATGTCTTGGAAACTTGGCCAATCATTTTGGGAAAGAAAGAGAGACTTACTATAGCCTGATTTTATTGGCCTTTTATAGGAGTATACTCGAGAAATACTTAACAGCAAAAAGGAACAGGTAATGTTTTTTGAAAAAATGTACATTTTATATGGTAGTAATACTCTCTAGAATGTTATTACTAATGCTAAAAGTTTTAATATGAAAAGGGTCCAGGCTAATACTTTCATCCCTTAAATATCAAATTCATAAAACACCAGCATTGTGATTCTGCTTGACAAGTCACTCCTGGGACGTCCACTCTTGAGTTGGATCTCCAGAGTGACGGCGCTCCAGAGAGAGGGTAGGAGTGCTGGGTGTCGAGTGGCATCCCCCGGTGCCCGGGAAGCAAGCTGTTCATGTTTGGCTTAGTGGCAGAGTGCCTGTGGGAACTGGTGGCAGGTCCCCAAGGTGGAAGCAACGACTGCTTCCTTAGTAGTTAAGGGATCCTGGCCAACCCATGTTGGACCATCACGTGAGAACAAAGGCCGGAGGCCCTGACACCTGGAGAGCACCAGGCTGCTTGCCTTTGTGGGGCCGGGCCCTGCGGTGTGCAGCAAGGGTAGCACCCATCAAAGACCCGAAAGCCACGCCCTCTGACATTGCTGAGACTTGCCCCCGAGGCCTGAGGCCTGAGGAGGTTCCTGTTGCCTTCGTCAGGTGTATAAGTCTTCGTCCCACACAGTTGAGGAAGGTAGTTGGTGTGAACAATTGCTGATCACTGGGGCGTGGAAAGAGGTTTCTAGGTTTAGGACACCCATGTTCTCCTAAGGTCAGCCTTCGCACACTGGCCTCTCCTGCTGGGAGGACAGTGCTGCTCTCAGGAAGTGTGCACACGAGGGCTCTGTCCTCTGGGTAGCTGGCAGGCATTGACTCTGGGTTGTCCGTCGAGGGCACGTCTCAGCGCAGCCCTGTCTTCCTTCTGTTTTGTGTTCTGGGGTGGGAACACCCCAACTCTAACTCTTGACAGATCTCTGGATCTGGGTCATGGTGATTTGATTTTTGAGGCTGTGGTGACTCCTGTTTCTTTTCCTCTTCAGAAAACGCTGTGCGGATTGAGTTGCCCTCAGTTAAAACTCTGACCTGTATTGGTCTTGCTGCAAATACTTAGGCAAGAAATGAGCCATCTGCTCCACTTTGGTTAATTCTGGGCCTTCAGTGATTCTGCTGGCAGCTGTGAACTCTCTGGGTCTCTTAGGAAACTTCCTATTGCTGTTGCTGTTGATGTCCGCAGCTCTGGGCTCTTTGCTGAAGTTGGGACAGTCGGCGCGCAGTTGCTCGTCACCTCTTGGCAGGGTGCTTGTTTGTGCTTAGTCAATGCCTCCCTGGCTGACGGGGGCTTTCCTTTGCGGTTCAGTGTCACTGTTTTAACCCCTTCTTCTGCAGTGTCATTATCCGCGAGGAGGCGGTGTCAGGGGCTCCAAGTGGAACAAGAGGTCGGAGCTGTGTCAGGGTTCCTTCCAGCAGCCACGACATTTGTGCTTTCTTCACGTCCACAAAGACGACCGGACTGGGGAGCCACGGGCCCTGCACGGGGGCCAGTGTGGAAGGTGCTCTGGGTGGCTGGTGCATGGATTCGGATTGAGTGAAAGCCCACAGTTGTACTGTGAGTTGAATACCCCGATGCTTGGCAGAGCCTACCTAGTCCCACTAACCAGTACTTACATGCTGCCCTTTACTAATGACCAGCTAGCTGTGCCTGTGTAAGGCAAGTTCAGAGCAGCTGTTACTGTGTCTGTTAATGTGTTTATCAGCGCTTGAGCATCAATGCTGTAAAACCCTTATGTGTGTCCATCTATGCAGAGGTGAAATAAACTATGTGGAACGCCAGTGCCCCACAAGTCTGTGTGTGCTTGCTTCTCCCCCGCTCGGCAGCAGGACGCCAGGCTGGGCGTCCCCCAGGGCTGGCATCCCCCATCTGTGAAGCAAGCTGTCCAGCTCAGAATGCCCGAGGCCAAGTTGCCCCTCACAGGTCCTCACGGGGTCCTGCTCCTTTGACCCCCTTCCTCTCCTTCCAGAGAGGCCCACTGATCTGAGGACCTGTCCGCGGCCTGTTGTGTGGTGGGGTCAGCTGGTTACAGGGGGAAACCAGTTGAGGCTTGGGAGGAAGAAGTTTATCACCTGCCGAGGTCTCATGGAGGGTCACTTCATCCAGGCAGGGTCAAGGGGAGAAACGCCAGGTGGTCAGGACAGGGGAGAGGACAAAGCCAGGCTGGGCCCTTACCTGTGCTTCTGTGAGAAACAGCCGGGCAGAGCAATCAGCTCAGGATTGGCTACTTTCAGTGGGGTGAGCCATGGGTGTCTCTGGTTGCCTGGTCCCTGGCTCGGGGGTTTTAGGCATGGAGCACCTTGGTTGGTGTCTGAGTGTCGGGGCAGAGGTAGGGTGTCTGAGGGGCATGCCCTGGGCAGGCCTGCGCTGGCTGGAGGAACCGGCTGATGCTGAAGGTGGCCGGATCTCCCCAGTGGCGAGCTCTGCAAGATGCCCAGACCTGGAGGGACCAGGGAGTGTCACAGGCTCCCCTGTCCCCTTCCCCCCAGGAGCACCTCCTCATCCCACTGGAATCCCAGAGGGCCTGGGGCTGGAGCCAAGGTGCCTCCCTGCCCCTGTGCACCCCAGCTCTTCAGAACAGACTGAGAAACAGGCTCAGTGGGGAGCAGAGGAGACCAGCTGCATGTGCACCCCCAGCGGGAGAGCAGCACTGGTCTCTGCAGATGGGCTGCGAAGCCCCATCAGGTGGGCCCCAGCGCACTGGGATGCAGAGCCTCAGGAGCCTGAGGTGGGCCCAGCTCACAGGCAGGTCCTCAGGACAGGCTGCATGTGAGGAAGGGGCAGTCCCAATATTTTCCCAGGGAGAAGGAGCAAGGAGAGTGAGTCTCAGCAAGGCCAGAACTGTGACAAAATCCCTACATTTTGGAACAGTTCCGTGAGTGGCCCTTCGGAAGGCTCGCCTGTCCTTGGGAGCAGCAGCTTTTCCTGTGTGTGACAGGAAGTGACCTCTGTGGCCCAGAGCCCTCTGAGCTCTCAGGTCACCGCACACTTGGACCTGAATTCCAGAGCTGGATGGTAGGTCATGAGGTCATATCTGGGGTCCCTGAAAACGAGGCTCTGGGTTTGCTAGGCCCAGAGCCCTTGGCCCCAGCCTGCGCCACCCACAGATCCCCACAGAAGGGGAGGTGCGGCTCCAGCCCAGCTCAGCGGGACGTGTGGACCCAGGCTGGCCATGCCCAGGAGGAGAGGGCTCCGTGACAAGGCGCAGCACTGCCTGGTGTCTGGAGATGGGTCGATGCTGATGCACACGCTGGGGTTGGCCACACAGTTACTGCACCATGAGGTAAGTGTTCTCCTGGTCCAGTCTTCACCCTGGTCTGAGTGACAACCATCCTGTCACCACCCAGCTCCCCTCCAAGTCGGGGTCCACATCCCCTCCTCAGCCCCCAGCCCTGTCTCCACCTGTCAGTTCTCCTGTGAACGGGAAGTGAGCACTTGCAGACCCAGACCTCACTGCTCAGTGGGCACTGGAGGACCCCAGAGCCACTGCTGATTGGTGGCAGTCGGTCCAGACAGTTTCCCTCATGGATCTCTCTTTACTCAGAGGGGACAGGAACGTTGCTGAAGGGCGGAGATGTGCTCAGTACCCCAACTGCTGTCTCTGTCTCTCTCCTGCATTTTCTTCTGCAAAGATATTATTCAATTTGAACTTCCCTGAGCCTCAGTGTTTTCCTTGCCAAGTTTTAGGATTTGGATAATAAATCAGAGTGGCTTTCTTTGCAGCCTTTGAAACTAGATGTAATGACAAAAAACATACAGGCTTTTCAGACTGAGGTGATGAATCATCTAGCAGAAGTCGGGTGAACGAGGTCCAGGAGAACAGTTCACATAACTCTAATAGTCTTGCTCAGTGAGAAGAAGGATTTTAAACCTCTTTAGATAAATGAAATAAAAGCTATTTGTGCAAAGAGGTGCATCCTGTGTGTTGTGTTGTGCTGAACAAGGCGCTAATGCGGCCTGTGGGCAATGAGGCTGTGCCAATCGCAATTGTGTGGCAAATACCTTAGAGCTATCACATGGTGACAGTGTCTCCACACACTGCAGTGGCAGAGATCAAGCCATCGACTTGTGGACAGGCTTGGTCTCCAGTTCTCAGGGAGGGTACAGGCTCATGGCCCTTGGAGTGAGAGGGACAATCCTGGCTGCTCATGTCCTAGATACCTGGTTCCTGATGCTGGGTGGCATTGCAGAGGACACAGCACCCCTTGAAGCAGCTCTGCAAGGCCGGTAGTTTATGAGGCATAGGTCTTGAAATGAAGCAGAAGTGACAGTCCTGCAAACATCCAGTGAGTGCCACTACCTGACTTCTGCATGGCACTGGGACGCAGCCGGCAGATGAGACTTGCTTTGCTCAGAGGACCTCAAGCGGCCGTGACACGTGCCGACAACTGCTTGCTCAGTGCCAGCAGGTGTCCTGGAGTGCCGACAGGCCATGCCTGCTCCAGCACTGTGTTTGCACGTGGCAAGGCTGGAAGTCCAGAGCAGCCGCACGCCACACTCACCTCCTGTTCTCCTTTCTGGGCTGCACACTCATGTTCAAGGCAATGTCTGGCTGACAACTCCTGTGGCTTTGCTGTTACCATTGACCTCTCCAGTCCACAGTCTGGGGTCAAGGTCACTGTATCCACCACTGTGAAAGGAACTGTGGCTCCCAGATGGGACACCTCCCTTAGGAAGCTTCTGGTGAGTGTCAGAGCCAGGATAGCACATGGGTGACAGCAACGTGAGGCAGGGAGAAAGTCTTCTGGGTGGCACAGATGCAGCCAGGAGCCTGCCAGGAAACAGAATGGCGAGTCCTGGGATGTGAGAGCGGAGGCCCAGGGCTGGCTGCGCCCTCCCCCTCCCCCGTGTGACATTGACACCATCCTTCTGCACTCGGAGCAGACAGTTGAGAACAGGCATGGTGGCCTAGGGACCCTGCAGGCTGACTTGAGAGGAGCCCACCAAGGAGAGGGAGGACAGAGGGAGGGGCCCTGCGCCAGGCGGCCACAGGACCCGTAGTGCCGGGCGAGGCTCTGAAGGGGGACTGCAGAAGGGAGGGGACGGCAGAGGCTCCTCAGCTCCCTGTGAGGCACGAACCAAAGGTTCTTAAAAATACCCTGTCCCCCAGCTGAGCCCAGCCTCCAAAGCAGCACCCCTTAGAGCCGAGTGTTTGTTGGAGCTGGTGGGCTTGTGAGACCCCCTCCCCTAGGGCCCACAGCCGACGGGGGGCCATGTGGTGCTGGAGACGCCCTGGGTGTGGGCACATGTTTGCTGACTCGTGTCCCCTGCAGCACCAAGAGAGCCTCTCTGCCCTAAAGGCCTCTGTGGCCTTGTTCTCCTCCTCCACAACCCTGCTGACCACTGGACTCTCACTGGGCCCAGTTTCACCTCTTCCAGCATGTCCTGTGTGAGACTCACGGGGCACCTCCTCCCCTGGCAGGCGTGGTCCTCAGGTATCTGTCCCTGGGGAGATCCCCCAGCCGTCTCCAAGCTGCCAACAGTGTGGCAGTGTCTTGATGGTATGAGCCGGAATACTGTTGGGCACGAGCCATGTTTCTGTTGTATTTTTGCTCACACGGCACAGGTAAGACCAGCCATGCCAGTCCCCTCCACGCTCTAAGGTTCCTCTCAAGTCAGGTACAGGACCAGGGCGAGGTTCTGGGACTTCCACTTAGCCACCGTGGAACACCTCCACATGCCTGGGTGGCCGTGCCCTCCCCCACCTGCCAGCATCCAGGAGCCCCCCTCCCTCGCACACAGCACCCCCTCGTTACGTGCCTTATTTTAGTCAGCCTGTCCTTCCCCTGGACAGGAGGTCATTAGCTTCACGTGCCTTTTCCTGCCTCCTCTAAGCCAAGAATCCCTGCATCTGTGGGAAACCACTCACTCTGGGACCTGCCAATTTAACTTCTTTGATCTTTTCATTAAGTGTTTCCTGTTGATTTGTCGAGCTCCTTGTAGACTTTAGAGAGATCACTTTATTCTGGATATTTTTAGATATATTCTCCCACCTACCAGTGGGCACTTTTGGTGGGGACCTTTTACTGAATAGCAATCCTTAACTTGAATGAATGTCGAATCTATTAACTTCCCCAGATGGCTTCTTATTTGGGGATTAATCTTTAATAGAAGAACAATGAAAATGTTTAATGTTTGTTAACAGAAGTGTGTAATATGTAAGCTGTCTAACTCTTGATTCATTGTCAGGATTTCCTATAAAATGAAATAGTGTATTTTTTTTAAGAAACCCTTTTCTAAACATGTTCTCGTAACACACGGAGCGGTGGAATCCTACCATACAGCATGTCTCCTTACACTGACGTGGACTTAAGAAACCAGAACCAAACAGATGCCAGGAGGAGGAGTCGGGTTTGGACGAGCAGAATCCCCGAGATCTAAGGGAGAGTGGACACGGCGTGCCTTGTGGATCTGACTGAGAAGCAGCAGGGGTGGACCACGCCGTTCACACAGACACGGTGAGCACCAGGGGCCACAGAAGGTGCAGCAATCATGGTGTGCACGAGCCAAGATGGAGGTCCTACAACCCCCAAGCTGCAAGATGAGCTCAGTTTTCAAGCTTAGAGCCAAGTGTTCTAATTATGCCTGGGTGAAGCACAAGCCACCGTGGAAACATTTAAAGACTGGATGGCTTCTAGGTGGTGACGGACAGGCAACGGGTGCATCCTCCTGCAGAGCCAGTGTGATTGCCAGGCCCAGGAGCAGCCTGCCTGAGGGCAGGCACCAGCCCTTGCCCGAGGTCCCCTCATTGGGCCCCTGCCTCCTTGCCAAGGGGTCCCAACCATCCTCCCCCCCACCCCGGGTCGAGGGCAGGTGAGCAGGTGAGTTTCTGAACTTCAGAGCAGACTGAGCAGCTCATTTGGAGCGAGGCTTGGAGACAAAGGGGTTGAAATTTAAATCTGTCCTTTGACCTACAAATTTGACCTTTGCAGCAGTCTTACACGGTCTGCTTCTGCTTCCAAGGTTTAATTTGGAACCTCTAAAGCGTGGAAGAGGACTGGCATAGCTGGTCTTGCCTATGCATTATAAGCAAAAATATAAGAAAAACATGGCTCGTGCCCACCAGCAGTATTCCACGTCCTATCGTCATTTAGGGGCATTGCTTGTGGCAAATGCGCAGTCATGTTTTCTCTTGGGTTTCAGACCCCTCTGGATTAATATGAGTGCCTTGGTACAGGTCTGCGGAATTAAAAATGCTCTTCCAGTCAGAGGATTTCCTGGGAATCATGAGGTCAAGCATTGGGTCCCACTTCCAGCAGACTTGCTTCCCAACAGCTGGGGCTAGTTAGATGTGTTTACACTTGGAGACTGGCTGGCTCTGGGGTTCAAGTGGGAGTGGTCGGGCCGATGCACAAGGACTTTCTGAGGCCTGCTCCCACCTCCACCTCCCTGCAGTATGAAGGAGACCACGAACAGCAGAGCTGCGCCTTCTCGGAAACCCCTCTGTGCAGAGAGCCCTGTCCCAAGCCCAGCAACCTGGGCTGGTCCCAGTGAACCGTGTGACCAGGTTCCCACAGTGGCACCAGGGGTAAGGATTTGGGCACCCAGGGGCAGCTGGCCCAGGACTCCAACTGCATAAAAAGCACCCCAGGTTTTCTGCAGAAATGTGCCTTGGGAATTCCCATCTGTTTCCTCCTGCACTTTTCCTGCCTCCCCAGCCCCCTTCCCTTCTAAGGTCTCATGGACAGCGTCGATGGTTTCCTGGGCTGCATTCCTACACAAGATGCTTTCTTTCCTGCATCTTGCTGGTCACAGATTACCCTCCGTCCAAACGCAGAAGCAGAAAAACAGGGCAGAGAAGTGCCCATTGTCCTGCTGGGTGAGGGGAGGGACAGGCTGCAGGATGCAGCTGCAGACAAAGGCTCCTTCTCTCCCTCCCTGCCTGCCAATCGGATTTCCTCCCAAGACAGCGGCCCAGCACTGGCCTGCCTGGCGCGGTGGTCAGTTTGAGTCACGACAAAGCACCGTGGCCTTACTGCTTGTCCCACAGCTCTGGAGGCTGCAAGCCCAGGGACGTGGTGCCTGCAGGTTCTGTGCCTGGCCCGCCTGGCTTTTAGAGGGCACCTCCCGGTGTGACCGCTGGGAGGAAGCGCAGTGTCTTCCTCTGAGGGTACCAGTCCTACCTACAGGCCCACCTATGACTTTCCTCTTTTCCTTCCTGTGGGCCCTGACACCAAACAGTCCTATGGTGGGGCTGCCACCTGAGAGCGACAGTCTTGGCCCAGACAGGCTCCTGACGGGAGGAGACAAGGGCCACAGCGCCCCAGTCTTTGTAGGCTCCACTTTCTCACTTCCCACTGTGGGCCCCCAGCTGAACCACCCGCGGAGCCGCCTCCTGTGTGAAATAACCGTGGTAATGTGAGCAGAGGGAAGCCTGGGGTCCACTCGGACTGTAATATTCGGCCTTCATTGGATCGGCCAAGCGCTCAGCTGGTCCTCCGGGTTCTCCAATTAGGGTGTGAGCCTGCGGACTGGCCAGGTCCTGCTGCTGCCCCTGGGCGGGAGTCCGCGCTTGCCCACCCACTTCAGAGCAGGCACCTCAGTACTTCCAACAGGGAGCTGGGTGGCTCAAAAGGGCCACGTGGTCCCTGAGCGACCTTGGGAGCGCCTCCGGATACAGGTCTGAGGACCCCTTGAGGGAAGCAGCCGCCCGCTGCTGCTTTGCCTTCAGTGCCAGGTGGGACAGTTTTTCGAGGATCGGTGCCCTCCCCGCGGTGGCCGCGTGGCCTCCTGCACACACAGCAGACAGGTGCCCACGGTGCTTCCTTAAATCCGGGCCACCTTGCCAGACCACGTGTGGCTGTTGCCGTTCTGTCAATTTCGGTGCGTGATTCATGTACGTACGTGTGTGTGTTGACCTTTGAAAAGCTCGTGGGGTTTTGGTTCTGATATCTGCTCTCCTGTTCTT